TAACGAAATAGTTACTTTTACTACTAACTAGTTACTTTTATTGTGGAGTAACTCAGTTACTAACTTAAGTACTTTTTGGGATAAGTAACAAGTAACTATAACTAATTACTTTTTCAAAGTAACATGCCCAACACTGTATATGGCAGACCCTTTGGTGACACTGTGCCAAACATGCAACATAAACACATGCGGGTCACAGAGGGGTTAAAGCTTCAACAACATCTCTGGAAAAGAGACTGGCACAGAAAATCCACAAAGGAAGGATCCAAAACCACCTCAACTGACTTTATTTAAATGCGGAGAAGAAGAATCTCTAATTTCAGTTTCTCCTGGTGGAGAGACTTTCTCAAACTATCTCTAAAGGTCAAGTCACCCTCAAGACGTTTATTCGAGTCACTTGTATCTGGTTTCTTAATTTTTTGCTCAAGCTTCCAAATTTTTTGAGCATAAGGGAGGGCTGCAACGTAAATGGATTAAATGCAGTAAATCAAGAGTTTGTTTTTTACCACACATCAGTTCCCACATGAATGCAGACAAAGGCCCAATCATCCTCTTCATCTTCTGTTCCATCCTACCAGCAATCAACAGGACACCAAGATACATTATCTAATAGCTAAAGTACTGCTTAATTCATGCACTGCAAAAACGTTCTGAAAATTAGTAAAAATGTATTTAAACAAGTGTATTTACCTTAAATTTGAGTAGGAAAATAAGATGATCTGCCAATGGAATGAGCATTTCTTACCCTTAAAATAAGATAAATTAGATATTATGCGCTTGAAGTAAGAGACTATAGTCTTTTTTTCTTATTTTAAATGTAAATTGTCTTATTCCATTGGCAAAGAGTCTTACTTACCTGCTCAATTCAAGAAGAAATGCACTCGTTTTAAGAAAAATTTACTTACTTAGATTTACATTTTTTGCAGTGTGGGCTCACGTATCAAGTATCACCACAAAATTGTTAGATAGTTTTAAGAAAATTCAAACAGCAAAAGAAAGAAAAAAAAAGTTTGATGCATGCAAATAATAAACAAAATATGCATGTCATTACATTTTAACACTTTACCTGACGCAGGCCAAGTAGTTGCCTTTTTCTAATTCCATTCTTACATTATGGTAAGGATGAGCACTTTCAGCAAGAAAATCAATATGCTATTTATTTTTATATAATATATAAAGCCCCAAATGGATCAAAATGTAAGATATGACCTTTTATTTGTCTCTGTTCATGTTTTGGTGGCAAATGCATAAAAATGGAGCAGAATAACTGATGTCTGTTTCTCAGTGTTTCTCTTGTCACCTTCTGGATGAGTCAGTGAAATGCGCCTAGCATAATATTGGTAGCTTGGCCACAGTTTAAAGATCACCACTGTTTCACATTTTCTCCATTTGTAGATTTTTACTGCCGCTAGAGTCTCAAAGGGTTAGTTTTGTCTGGTTAGCCCTACATAGACTGAGATGTTAGTCATTTTGTATCCAATTTGTCATTTCTTTTTATGCTTTTAAAGGTCCGTTAGGTTCTTATTTCTACCACACTGGTACTTATTAAGCCCAGGTTTGACAAGTGAAACCTGTAGCTAAATCAAGTCAATTCATGGTTTAACGAAGCAGAGAAATTCCCTGGTTGGTGTGAATAGCTTTATTCCTGACAATAAGAGCCTTTTCTCTTTATTATGATTGCATTTGATATGAAAAGGCATTAAAACTAATAAGATTAGCTGTTTCCTTACCTAAATTTAACAGAACACATCTGTAAGAGATAATATATTTTTCCACAGTGCTTTATAGCAGATTAGGAGCATTGGTTGAATGAAAACGGCTCATCTCAATAATGGCCTACAAAAAAGTAATTTGCATTCTTGGTTGTCATTGCTGATATCCATCTATCTGATCCATTCATTTAGTAATTTTACCACAGATGTGGGCAATGTTCTAATACTATAGATTCCTAAATGTGTATATATACACACTAAGACCAAATGCATACATCTGCATACAAATGCTGACAAAGCCTTCTGCAAGGCACATAAAAATACAATTACAAGTGCTATCATGCTGTTTTAAGTAAAGCAGCCCTGCCCACCACACGCAGCCCTTTGTCAGAATCAGGACTGACACTCAAAAAGCTGTGACCTGCACCGGCTGCTGTGGGCAGCAGGCCTGACTCCAAACCCCGGTTACCATGCCATGCTGTGAGGCTGCGCTGCACTCCCTTCTATTACCCCCTGGTTAGTGCCGTTATTTTCTAATCTCATCAATCTGTCAGCTGAGCCATTTGACAAAAAGCACAATATGGCCACCGTATTTCATTGAATAGGTGCCCTAACTTTCAGTATGGCTCCAGCATTTTTAGATTAGTCAGCTCATCCACAGGGGACAGCAACACACTGGCTCCACCAGTACCTAACTGGTGTTTGAGCTTATTTTCCACCATAGGAAGCTCCAGCCATGGTTCAAATTATCTAACACCCCATCATCAAGAAGAGGAAATAGACAAGCTCATGAACAACGTTTGGTTCTACTTCGTACCTAAGCGTTACCTTTTCACCTCTTAATTTCTAAATTTCAGATCAGTAGACAAACTAACCATTTAGTTATTTCATACAAGTTCATTTCTCTACTTAGTTCAGTTTTTCTATTGAATTCCGACTTTAATCTCAGAATTCTGACCAAATTCTGACAATAAAAAAAGTCAGAATTCTGAGATTAAAGTCATAATTCTGAGATCAAAGGCATAATTCTGAGAAAAAAAGTCAGAATTTTGAGATTAAAGTCAGAATTCTGACATTAAAGACAGAATTCTGAGAAAAAAGTCATAATTCTGAGATTAAAGTCATAATTCTGAGAAAAAAGTCAGAATTCTGAGATTAAAGTCAGAATTCTGAGAAAAAAGAATTCTGA